GCCGAACCTGAGCCTGTTGCTGAGCCTGCTGCCGCCGAACCTGAGCCTGTTGCTGAGCCTGCTGCCGCCGAACCTGAACCTGCTCCAGAGCCTGAACCTGCTGCTGCCGAACCTGAACCTGCTGCTGCTGAGCCTGCCCCAGAGCCTGAGCCTGTTGCCGCCGAGCCTGAACCTGCTCCTGAACCCGCTGCCGCTGAACCTGAACCTGCTGCTGCTGAGCCTGCCCCAGAGCCTGAGCCTGTTGCCGCCGAGCCTGAACCTGCTGCTGAACCTGCTGCCGCTGAACCTGAACCTGCTGCTGCTGAGCCTGCCCCAGAGCCTGAGCCTGTTGCTGCCGAGCCTGAGCCTGCTGCTGAACCTGCTGCCGCCGAGCCTGAGCCTGCTCCAGAGCCCGAGCCTCCTGCGGCCGAACCCGAACCTGTTGCTGAGCCTGCTGCTGCTGAACCTGAGCCTGTTGTTGAGCCTGCTGCGGCCGAACCTGAACCTGCTCCTGAACCTACTCCAGCCGCCGAGCCTGAAGCTGCCCCTGAGCCACTTCCTGTTAGCGACGAAGTAGCGCCTGATGAGCCTGTACCCGCGGAAGCCGAACCTGAAGTGGAGGTTGTCGGTGCCGTACCTCCTACCGAAGGATCTCCAGATGGCGATGAGGCCGCCCGCCGCGCCCGACGTCGTAAGAGACGTAGTCCAGTTGAGCGGGAACGTCCAGTTGAGCGTGAGCGACGGCATTCGAAGACATCATCCGAGGGACGTCGCGATGGACTTGAACGCCAGAAGAGCGAGCGTACTGTTCTCACTATGCGGTGGACCAAGGCACTTGAAGAAGCACGACGCCAACACGATGCCAAGACCCAGAGAGACCGAAAGGAACGTGCTCTCGTTGAAGAACGCGAGCGCAGCGGAATTCCCCTCTCTGATAAACCCAGACGCACAAAGAGCTCGGCCAAGGAGAAGGAAATCTCGAGAGAACTCGAAGCTGGTGCCATTCCTATGGAGCCCAGGTCCAGGCGACGTGATTCCGAGACACCCAGTCAACCGATTGAGCGTAATCGCTCAACCAGAACCTCTTCGGCTAAGGAGGTGTCGTCTTCGGCACCGAGCGCCAAACCTCGTGCTTTCTTGCGCTACATGACTGAAGGCGAATCAGATAACAAAGGACATCCTTTGTATTTGAATGCCACCAAGGCTTCTCCGCCTGTCGAAAGACCACGTCGCACCTCGACCAGCCATAGCACTGGCAGTGGCAGCCGCCATGAGCGGGTTGAGCATGAAGACGGACACTCTGTCGGTCGGTCGAGTGGCTCTACTTCCCGTCGTGAAGCCCGTCGTGAATCTCGTAGAGAGGAACGTCGTCACGAGGAGCCTCGTCTCGAACGCACGGATACCCGCAGATCTCATCGCTCGTCTAACGCCGAGCATGGCCGGTCCCGCGAGAAGGAGAAGGAGCGTGAACGTTCGCGCTCACGTTCCCGTGCCCCGGAGCGGGAGCTCGAACGCGAAGAGAAAGAGAGAGAGCGCGAGAGAAGACACGAAGGTTCTTCTCGGCGGTCTAAGGACTCGAGGGAGGTTCGGTCTCATCGTCGGCACAGACGCGAAGAGTCACCACCACCCAGAGAGTCCAAGATCAAGAGTATTTGGAGGGCCATTGCTGCCCACTAAGCCCCCATTGGAGCTTTACTTGGGTATTTTCATGATTTCTGAACTCTCACTTTCAACCTTGTCTTTTATTTTTTGAGGGTGGTTTGTGGTTTCGACAGAATGATCTATATGATATGTATGTTTGATGAAGTGCATGTGAAGCGAATCATTGCAGGAGTACTTTGACTTCGTTGTTTATTACTTAGATTTGATTAAGTACCCAAGACAAGGATTGGGATTATTTTAAGCGTCTACATCTGTTCGTAACTTGTAATGTGTTTCATGTACTCCGTGCCCGTGTTGTCTGAAGCATTAGCAGTCATATAATGGATATCATATTCAATCGTCAAGACATCAGCACGCTCAGATGAAAATCGAAGTCAAAGATTCTCGCTCTTCGCGGGAATGACCCTCGAACACCAGCCGCACCAAGCACGATGCAAACCCTCTTCTTCACGAACAAGGTAATTGCCCGTCTCCCTTTCATCTTCGTACTCAGCAACACAAGCCCCGACGTTAACTCTCTTCTTAGACTTGTGCTTAACAACGCCTCCAATCCCAATTACCTCCTGCCTGAAATATCCAGGCTGGTCCTCGTCATGGCCATCAATCGGACTACCATTTTCATGGTAATATGGCGCATGCCCCGCAGGACTTCCAGATCTGCTACTATCGCTGCTAGACCCCTCATCGGCCTCGCAATCGACTTCAAGCTCAATCTCCTGTGAGGCGAGACAACCTTCGCCTCGCCCACACTTGACACCTTGGCAGCCCTCGCCAATTCCCGTCCCCACACCCCCTAGATATGTGCTATACCTTGTCCGCCAAGCCCAGACACGACGGTAGGTTGTGTCATTGCTGCGCAGGGTCTGCCCGCATTGCGTGCACAGCCAAACAGCTTCTTCGCAATTGCATGGCGTACGTGCAAAGGCCAAAGCAGCAACGCTGTCTTCGTCCCAGGGGCCAGAGTGTGGGTCGGAGTTTCGGGCGAGGTGGGCAGAGAGTGGTACAGTGCCACAGGGTCGACAAAGGCGACGGATGCGACCTTTAAGGGCGTGCTTATTGGGAGGTTTGACGGTGCAGTTCTGCAAATTGGGTGGGTTAGCAATGGAGCTGAGCGATCTGGGAGTCTACTTACCCGACAGACAACCTTGGCGCAACGACGACATTCGCCCACCATGTCGCGTGCACACTTGCCCACTTTACCGCGAGTCATGCGGCTCGGGTCACCATTTCCGCGACTGAGAAGCTGAATGACCGATTTAACGCTGTCTGGGATGACAGCACCTTCATGGAGCAACTCTGCTAGAGTTTCGATGTATTCATTTTCGCACCGGAGAGTCTCTCTCACTAATTGGTGGCGATATGGTGCCAGGTTCACGTGGAATTGGCGACATACACTCGACAGGGCGTGAAGAGTAGTAAGGTCGATGGCTCGAGTGATCTCTTTGATTATACTGCATAAAGTTTGTCCTGGTCAGTTGAAATTCCCCGCTTGCCCATACCCCACAGGTTACAAACACATACGGATAACAGCTCAACGCCGCTGAGAACCCATTTCGGTTTACAGATTGGGCATCAGCCTCTTCCGACCAAGCTGGAGATGGGGGTAATTCGGCGGAAGCCGAAATGGGGTCGACCTTTAGCTGGAAGGGCTTCTCTAATGCCGATCCGGGAACTGCATCGTCAAGGTCGACAAACACCACCATGCTGCTCCATCAGAGGCTTTCTGAGATCAGCATTTGATCAGATAAGATCAGAGGGGCTCTTATAGTCCACCTTTCCCCGTTATAGGAAGTGAATGTTTGGTACTCGGAAGTGGGATGATGGCGGAACGAGAGATTCCCTCCGTCTTCGGGGGCGGTGAGCTTATTGTTTTGTTTGATCTTCTTCTTCTCTGGTAAAATACACCTGGAAGCCTTCAGAAGGCTGCTTCTCCTTTCGAGATACCTTCTTATATCCCATTCATCCCATCTTATGCGTTATTTTAATCCAAACGCCTTCTACCTACATATTACCCCTCCAACGCCTAGCCTCGGCCAATGCGGCCCTTTCCAGCCCGATAAGCGATAGTCTCCAACTGTCTCCAATATCAAACGGCGGGGTTTCCCGACTCCCGCTATGTGTGGGGGTTCTTTATAAGGGTCTGGCAGCCCACGGAGAGATTTGCTCTCCCCCAAATTCAAAATGCCGCTCAACGCCAAAGCTGTGTACACCAAGGAAAATGCGGACTATGTCCCGTTCGCCAGTCGACGGAGCACTGTCCACAGTACCAAAGGCATTGTCTCATGCACGCAGCCGCTAGCCGCAGCTGCGGGTCACCGGATTCTGAGCCAGGGTGGAAACGCAGCGGTATGCATACCAACCTATGAGTATTGTGTCTGGAGCTGATCATTATTCAGGATGCCGCTGTTGCCGTGGGTAAGCTTGAGGAGTCCCAGCAAATATAGAGGGGATGATCAACTAATAGGATGCTCAAGCTGCCGGTCTTAACATGACCGAGCCATGTTCCACCGGCATTGGAGGTGACATGTTCTGTCTCTTCTATAATGCCAAGACAAAGAAGGTGCATGCCCTCAATGGTTCAGGTCGGTATCCTGGGAGTGCCAGTCTGGAGAAAATCCGGAAGGACCTCGGCCTGGCCCCTGGCGCACCGGGTAAGATGCCCATGATGAGCGCTTTGTCTGCCACAACTCCCGGAGCCGCTGCCGGGTGGGTAGACACCGTTGAGAAGTTTGGTAGTGGGAAATTGTCGCTAGAGCAGATCTTACAACCAGCGATCGAGCTCGGCGAGGAAGGTTTCCCTGTTTCGGAACTTTCATCTCGGGGAGTAAGAATCTAAGCCGTGTGTGACTCCTTTCGAGATGCGTGCTAATGAAAATACAGTGGCATAATGCTGAGAATGATATCCGTAATGCATCTCCCAACTTCCGTGAAATGCTAAAGGTTGATTCCACGGCCAAGGATGGCGTTCGACCTCCGTGCCCAGGTGAGATTATGAAGAATCCCACGCTGGCCAAGACTTTCCGTGCACTGGCTGCAGATGGCAAAAAGGGATTCTACCAGGGTCGCATCGCGGAGGCGATCGTCAAAGTTATACAAGACCAGGGTGGCTACATGACCCTCGAGGATCTAGTGTACCACGCTGAGATCGGAACACAGGAGGTCGATGCGATCTCGCTGAAGTTCACCGGTCAGGACATCGTGTCCAAGGCTACTCCCGGTACAGACGGGGACGCCAACCAGGGCGTCGAAATCTGGGAGCACCCACCAAATGGGCAGGGTATTGTGGCACTGATGGCCCTTGGTATAATGGAAGAGCTCGAGAAGTCAAACAAGATTCCCAAGTTCACCCAGGATCAACATAACTCTGCAGAATATCTGCACGCCGTCATTGAGAGCCTGCGCATCGCTTTCGCCGACGCAGCATGGTGGGTCACAGATCCGGATGTCGAGAGCGTGCCATCTCAAGGCCTCTTAGATCCCAAGTATCTCGCTGAGCGGGCGAAACTTTTCGCCCCGGATCGTGCAGCAGATATCATGGACCACGGCAGCCCTGCGCACAACCACTGCGACACAGTATACTTCGCGGTTACGGATAGCGAAGGCAATGGTATCTCGTTCATCAACAGCAACTATGACGGGTTTGGAACTGCCATCATCCCCGCCGGCTGTGGCTTCACGCTTCAGAACCGCGGAGCCAACTTCTCTCTTCAAGAGGGTCACCCCAACGCCCTGGCGCCGCATAAGCGACCCTACCACACTATCATCCCTGCTATGATCACCAATATCGCCGACGGCTCGTTGCACTCCGTGTATGGTGTCATGGGTGGCTTCATGCAGCCGCAGGGCCATGTGCAGGTTATGCTCAACATGCTTGCTTTCGGATACCACCCACAAGCAGCACTGGATTCGCCACGATTCTGTCTCGCTGCGCCGACAGATGAGGGCAAGGACCGCACAGTCTGGGTCGAAGAAGGTGTTAGTGATACTGCTGTCGAAGGACTTCGTCAGCTCGGTCACAAGGTCGAAGTTTTGACTAATTGGAAGCGAGCCACGTTCGGTCGTGGGCAGATCATTCGCTCGTACTATGACGAGGGCCAGCTAGTTTATGCTGCTGGTAGTGATCTGCGGGGTGATGGAATGGCCTTCCCATTATTATGAACACCATTAGAATAGATGTTACCCCTTAAGCCAACACCGTATTTGTAGGTACTTCGCTAGTCGCTTCGCAGGCAAATGGTATCTTGAATTTATTGAAGCCCATTTCCAAATACGCCTGGGCGTCATTCGCCATAATGTCCCAACGAGGCCTTTGGAAGGATCCTCCCAAGTAAGACTCCGTATTATGATCGGGATTTCCAATGCTGAGCAGGGGCACAAATTAGCAAAATAAAATGGCCTGAAACTTGGCCATCTGACATCTCCCTACACTGTGCTCCGTGTTCCGTGCTCCGTTCTCCGTATAAGAGTACTCGTAGTTTGAGAGAGACGAGACAAGCATCGGGAGCTCCGGTTCGCATCCGTGTCCTACATAGGAAAAGCCTGCCACAAAAACAAGGTTCCAGCTGAAGCAATAGACTCAACGAGCTCTACTCCTTACTCGTATCATGTCAGACACAACCCCCGAGCTCCGACCTATCACAATAATCTGATTCCACGGGAATGCCGGCCTCAGGGGGTCGGATAATCGTCGGAAGGTTCACGTCAAAGTACGAACTTGCACCGTGCCAGAACGAGTTTAATTGCATGCAAGACGCAGGAGACATCGAGTCCCAAGAAGAGGGAAATAAAGCAAAATGCACATCATCGCCCAAGCAGGCAGGTCTGAACGAGGGCCTCAGGCCCTGAAGAGCCGCGTGACTCCCATGTCAACCCCTGATCGACAATGCCAAGTTGATCCACAACAGAGTTTGCGATGCGTGATGGATAACGTTTCGAAGGAAATTTGAGTCCCTACTGGAAAGATTCCGTTGCCTCTCAATCAAGTAGTGACCTGTAGATCCAGATCCGGACCTGCGGTATCCCTCCGAGCCTGACTTCTCGTACTCCATACAACACCCCGTATGGAGCATAAACGACCCATAATATCACGAATGGGCTAATCTGTCTTCGACACTACTCATTTCGACTCCGTCGAGTCTAGGAAGTCATGGGAAGTGGGCCTTGACATGTCCGTATACCATATGGAGCGTAGTGTCGGAGCTGGTCTGTGTTTTCCACGTTCGTTGCTAGGGCCCGGGTCGAGATTCATCGGATCCGCGCGGGCCTGAGGCCTAGATCAACGGAACCTAGATTTGGGTGTCGGTGTTTCTTACCTACGCACAGAACAATGCCCAGGTGGGATAGGGCTAAACGGTTGGAAAGAGACGGAGACAGCGTAAATGTCAAATGTTAATGTAGGTTGAACCATGGATTGGAAGTTGGTTCCCCGGAAGATTGTCGCTGATCCCATGGTTCAGTGCGCCCTACGGGGAATTTCGTTTGCCTTCGATAAACTTTGCTTTGAATTGAAAGGGGGTATAGACAGTAATATAAAATATAAAGACAATCATGATAGTGTCATAAAAAACAAATGAAAAGAATCGCAAGGGGAAACATCTAGTCGCTTCCCTCAATCTAGAGTACAGGAGTACAAGCTTGCGACAGATCTCGGGAGAAAGCTCGTCCCCCTATTCTTGTGTTTGACCCGAGGCGAGTGGTGGATCCCCAAACTTCCAGGTGATCGCGTCTCGGGGCGCAGTGGGACCGCAATGTCATTCTACCAATGAAGGAGAAGTCTTTCCAACCATCGATTGAGAAGACGAGACTACTCGTATGCTCTTAAGACACCGGTGTCGGGACAGTTGGGGTAATTGTCCGCTCTTTCCGTCCGGACCCACACTTTGAATGGTGACTCCCAAGTCAACCGGTTCGGGCCCGGCGCTCGTAGATTTTCGGATCTGCGCTCAAGTTCGGTGCTTGGTGCTTGTGGTCGTGAAGTCATATTATTTGGTCGCCTTTGTTGGGCATAAGACCGATCCATGGGCTTTTCACATGCCCCAGCTGATGGGCTGGAAGTGGGGCATGGTTTGGACTTGGTCCTCGTAGGGAAGGCAGTCGGAGCTGGACCAAGATGGAGAGGGGTAGTGGCACTGTACGGGCTGGTCAAAGGTAAGCAACTGGTCGTTCGTGAATGGGAAGGGGGAGCGCTTACAGGCTGGATCAAGTTCTCTCCCATAGACATGGGGACCAGATGTGATGGGGGCATGCCGGCATCGGCGTCCCAACGGAGGAGAGGTGTGTGGAGTTGAAGCGGAGAGGCGTGGGCATCGCCCTTGAAGATGTTTTTGGGGTAGTGGTCGATGACGGAAGTAGAGGTAGAAGACATAGAGGAGCTGGAGTGGGCAGGAAGGGAGAATGTGGTATCAGATAGAGGTGACGGGCATGTCTCTGCCGGGGATGAGTAGAATGGACTGTCGTCCGCGGTTTCGGAGAGGTGGTTGTGGAATGTTGGCCGGGGCTGCAAGGGCAAGTCGACGCCGCTCCACATCAAAGAGCAGTCGTTGGCCAGATCTGGATGGATTCCAGGTGCCACGACAGAGCCAATAGACATAGTGTTTGGTTGTGCTGCGCTCAAAGGCATTCCACTGTCCATTGATATACAACGCGGGATAGAAGACTCGGTGAGAATGGGTTCTTGTTTGGGTACCCATGAGGGCTGGTCTGTTTGCGACTCAAGCTCGCTGGTCACATTGTCAGTATGCGCCGGAGCAATTCAGGATATTTGTGATGCTCACTGTCTCTCAATGTGACGTGCAAGTAGATCCGTGCGATGGAAGGTTTTCTTGCATCCTTGCTGTGTGCACCGATATGAAGCCTCCGGGTTGTGGTTCAGTTCATGTCGTCTCTTGTGCTCGGCTCTGGTGAAGACCTGCGATAAAGTCAATTTCGCTGATCCTGCGAATGTAAAATGTGTTGGATTGCGCCGACCTTTCCACAGCCGTCATGTTGGCAAGCATGTACGCGCTTTCCCTTCTTTGCTTTACTGATGCGGTGGGTGGTCGGAGTATAGGTGACGGGCACAGTGTCCCCCTTAGGGCTTGAGCGCATGTTCTTTCGGCCCACCATGTTGGGATTTGAAGAAAGCTGTTGAGGTTCTGGCGAAAGCGAAGGCGAAGGCGAAGTAGAAGATACAGAAGGCGAGTTCAAGACCGAGATGATGTGGTTTGGATTGGTGCGATCTGGGGATACCCGGGGCATGCTGTATAAGAATGGAGGGAGGGGTATATATAAGGCTGATTCAAAGATACGAAGCAACTGAAGAAGCTGTGAAGAGACGGATAATCGGAAGAAGTGAAGAGCGGAAAGTGGACTGATATAGAGGGAACGATATGTAGGCTGTTCCTACAGATCTACGGATTAATAGACTTTTGAGTAAATTGGAATTAATTTCAGAAAAATAAAATAATAAAATAATAATTCAAAAATAAAATAAAACCCAAGAGGCTAAGAATAAAATCATAAAATCATAATAAAATGAAATGGAATCTTAAAATGAAATTAAAAAAAGAAAAAAGATTAGATCAAACCAACAGCACGGGCGTGGAGGATGATCGCTCGGGATGATCAGAGGATAAGCTGTACTAAATTTACACAGGGGCATTGCATTAGACCAGTGCGGCTGAGGCGCACATTACTGAACGGTCAAGGGAAGCGGAACGAGTTGTGGGTTAATTGCACTCTACATTTTTGTGGTATGTCCTTTTCCTGTTTTTCTTATTTTATTTTCCTGAGTATTACACTTCATACAATCCGGAGTAGTGTAGGGAGGCCTAAAAAGCCCAAACTAGGTACAAAGAGTATGGAGCATGGAGCATGGAGTACGGAGTACCTTGGTAGGAAACCAGCATGTGTACCCTCCGTGCTTCATACAATTACTCTCGCATTTACGATGGGGAGAGAAGCCGAACCCTACCTCTGATACTCGTGGAGCACACCTGGGCAGCTTTCAAGTCCAAGCTCCCACGGAACGCAACGGGGTTGCCCCACTACGAAAAAGGCCGGTGGATTGTTATGCGCTGGAAATTCGAAGGATCAGGCGCTAGTCCTAATGCGGCATCTTAGAGCCTCGCTTCAAAGCGCCTGCGATTGGATACCGACAGGGCAACACCCGGGGAAATACCGACGGACGATACAGATTCCAGGTTGTCTGCGAATGTATTTGTCGGTTTGGTGCTCCTCATTTTCGTCTCCAAGTTATTATTGACATAGAGAATGCTTTGGATTTTACGAAAGTGAATCTCGAAGCTGGGGCGCTCAACCATGGAAAGCCGTAACCTTCGCTCCATCCAATCGAGCTAAGCCTGGCACTAAGCCCAAAATGGATTTAAAAAGAAGGTGCGAGTCAGCCTAGTGGGGCGGCGCTTTTGACCGGCAATATTGGCGATCTTGGCATTGCGCATTTACGCTGGCATGGTCCCTGTAGGTTGCTTGTTTCAATCCGCCGATCATTGACAGAAAGGGTGAATGGACAATCCCCCCGAGATCCTGGCTCCGAACGATTCAAGACGTCACTGGAGTTCGTCTGGGGAATGGCTGAACGGTCATTTGCAAGGTTCTGAGATTGGTACCCTCCAGTCACCTGTGATACTACGGAGTGTTCCGTTCTCGATGTATACTATTATATTAATTTTTGATGTAGTAATTACATCCACGTGCCTGCTGCCCATATGGGCAACATGGTAAGCTTCCCTGGTGTACGGAGTAGGCACCGGAAAGCTCATCCGCCCTCGTGGCATCGAGGGTAAGCCACCTGGATCCTGGATTAGTACCACCTTGCAGATATGTACTATTGGTATAAAGCATCGATGTTTAGTTTTATTCTGATGTTCCTGAAACACGCCATAAGCAGCACCCCTGATCCCCGTCTCTTCTGGAAAGAATCCTTTAATATGCAAGCAAAGCCGTCAAATGAGGGGAAAGAGGGCCAGGGCACAATCCTTTTTTTCTAAAATCACAAAAAAAGAACTGTGGAACCAGGTAAAATAGAAATGCCATAGGAGAAAGCAATTTTAAAAAAAAAGAGATTTAAAAAAAAACAAGATCCAAAAAGCAAAACCTGCATCAAGGGAGGGGCTTGTTCAAGGCTGAATCCTGCCGTGCTGATGCCCGTCACACCGTTTGCGCAAAGACAAATCACGGGAACTGGATGGAGTGTCTGTGGGGGGCAACCAGCCTCGCACGATCCACAAGTCTATGTTTGTACTCGTACATATGCTGCAGATTATGGTAATCCACGATTAGAATCATAATCAGGGCTGCAAGGCATTGCTGTCGCCACATTCTTGAAACGTTTGAGATCCCAGTAGGAATACCGAAACACATGCAGCTTGCGGGAACTCCCACAGCCCTCTCTCCCCATGTTCCAAGTTTAGATACAGATGGTTGCTGCACCGTGTCTATACTAGAGGCTTTTAGGTCCGATCGGCCGCTGCAGCCAGGGTCGGCATGTTAGGCCTGAGGCATGTAGCTCTATCTAACTAATTCGGGCTCTACTGTTCGGGCGAGACAGATCGACACTGTTACCCCATCATCTTCCCGTCGTGAATGATCGCGATTCATGCCTTTCTGGGGGATCACAGTGAAAATCACGTCGCAAGAATTTCTGGCCAATAACGGCTTTTCAAGGGTCCAAATAAGTGGCTCACTCTATTCTATGCACCGATATCCTTTAATCATGATGTGGGTCGAGAATTATCTTCTTTCTTGTTGTGTATTGGTGTCTCGGAAATTTCCTATCGACGTGGTCTGCTTCACATTGTATTGGAGGAAGGGGTTGGGGTGGGGATGACAATGGCGATTCAAAACCCGTGGAGTGCTCCGTACTGGGCACTTGGTTTCAGAGCTAGTATATTTGGGGCGTTGGAGATCAACACCTCACAGCCAGAGAGAGAAGCTGCCAAAGCCCGGGTTTTGCGGGTTTTGGGTTTTGGGAGGGGAGTTATCGCAGGGCACTGTACGAGTATGGAGTACACTGTAGGGCATTTCATCGGTCATTGCCCAGGTGCGGATACTGGTGGACCCGCGCCTACTAAGTTGGGAATATCGTGCGAGTAGGTTTTCTAAGTCAATAGTTTACCCTGCATATGTACTTCTACTCGTAGCTACGGAGTATGGCTGGTGAAAAAGAACCACTTGTACTCGGGACTTTAAAGGATATTGTGAAGATTACTCTGAATAGTCTGATCTTAGTAGGATAATAGTACTCCGTAAGGAATACGAAAATAGCATAGCTTTCAATTCTGGGATGTGAAGAAATTCAAATCGGTATATACGAGGTAGCGAGTCAGAAGGCTCGATTCAATGTTGGTTCTTTTTTTAGGATACGTTGAACGCCGGTGGGAGAAAAGCTAGTCTGCCTTGGGGATTTCCAAAGTTGAACTTAGTTTTCTTTGTTTTTTAATGCATCAGACAATCATGATTGAGCGATTTTCCATATCAGATATCACAGTTAGCAGCAGTGTGCCTGATCGACAATTCAGGCTGGAGACCGGAGGCCTTGGAGGCTCGCAGCCGGGCTTTGCGGGTTTTGCGGCTTGGAGCTCACCCTAAAAGGGAAAAAGGGCTGTCGGGTTTTGTCGGTCTTTGCGCTAGATAAAACATTTAAAATATTAAAATATAATGGCATAAAATCAACGGAAAAATCTCCATATCGATCACCCGGCATCTCCCCGACCCTTACGGAGTCACGAACCTTGTGTACAAGTGTACGGAGTTTGTTTCCAAATATTTGACATTTCATCCCAAAAATGAAAAGATCGAACCCGTCTCGGGTTCGGGTAGTTAGCTGAATTAGAAATGGCGGAATTTCCGAGCTCACGTTTCGTCGATGGGGGTAAAAAGGGGTGACCCTCGCGGGCCTCGCCTGTTCGGTGAGGGCATACTCGTAGCTCCGTCTCTGACCCCAAGATGATCGGTGAGCCTCCGCTACGAGTAGAGCTTGCCCTGGTGGGTCTTGTCCGCTTTCCCATCTCTGTGAAGGGAAGTTCAAAGCTGCGGAAAGATAGGACAAATGAGGCTAATATTGAATGGCCTGATCATGTCTGGTACTCCGACGGGATACAGTGAACAACACTCTCGACAAACCAAGCTACCTACTCGTAGGTACGCAATCTTACCTCAGATCTGACCTGTAGTCTCATGGTGATTGGTGGAAGTGTTCCAGCTCACACAGGGTGAAGTCCCCCTAAGAGAAGCGACTCGTGGTCCACCGCCTCGGGTTCGCTATACATACCAAATGCGGTTAAGCGCATCCGCTTTGGAGCATTAAACTTGAGTTCAACGTTCCCCGTTGTGGACGGGGTGGCGCCGAGTGATGGTCCTCCCCGAGCTTGGAGATTGATGAACTCCTTCCGGATCAACGGGACACTTACGGAGTACGGAGCTCTCAATGTCTACCTTACGAGTACGCAGTACGGAAGAGAGGTTTCAATTGCTTTTTCTCTCAATCCTTTCCCCCTTCTTTTTACCCCTTTCTTTCCCTGATTGTTTTTTGTCTCAATAAAATGAAAAGGGTATCAATTGAGCAAATAGAACTTGAAATGTACGAATTATATGGAGTCGATGGCATACTTTCGCATCGAAGATCCGACCCCGATCATTCTCAAGTGAGGTTGAGCAAGGGCCAGACCGTTGCACAGTTTATATCACCTACCCAATCCAGGTTAGCCGCAGCCTAGTCGATTGTCTAAACTGCCAAATTTCCCAAAGTGCTAAGCGCTATCGGCCGCGCTCTTTGTTCATTATACTATTTGGGTTAGACCCGTGCTAGTGGCTGGAGCTAATCTGCTCCACTGAAGCGGTTATAGGGTTATCCCTGTTACTCGACGTTCCATGAATATTTAATTGGGTTTTGTTTCATTCTACAATCGACTATAACGGGAAATTTGAAGCTCACATCCGAAGACAGCTCCACTAGTTGCGATGCCGTGATTTTTGTTTTGTCTCGGGTACGAGTACACTGGATGTCGCATCTGTCGTGGTGCATATGGGCAGTAGACCATGGCTTTCGCCAAGCTGGCGAGAAGGGTGATCGATCTGCACTCACGGTCCAATCCTATTTGGTGGATCGTCGTTATCCATCAATGCTCCTGCCACGCTTCTGGTGATCGCGTGTTGGAGAAGTACTCGTATGCATAATAAGGTGAATGTGAACTCGTTGGGTTGTGTCATGTAGAATATACTCCTACATGCATGGGCGT